TGCCCTCACTCTCACGATTGGGACAATTTACGAGATTCCTTTTTGGATTTGATCGGCTAACGACCGATCACAGTACACACCGTGCACGATCCTCGAATCTGACCTTTCACGCGTGGACCATGGCGTTCTTTCTCTTGAGACCATGTTACACTTTTTCTGCATGCCATGTCGTGTACCGCTTCGGGCCCGGTGGGTGAGGGAGACCCTCAGCTGGATCGGCGCTTGGAGGGGGGACCTTTCGCTAGACTTGCCAACCGCCTCCTCACCCGTGCCGCAGGTGAAGATGCAACCCGGGCCGCTGACGTTGCTGAACGGCGCGGCGCCCCACCACCGCCGCTCCGGCGTACGTACTCCGGCCCGCCGCCCACGGCCGCGCCGCGCCATCTGAGCAGGTGGAGTGGGGATGCCTCCGCCGCCTCCTCCTTCCTCCGCCAGCCGCCGCCCGCCGCCGCGCGCGCTGGAGAAGTCGAGCGATTGCCCTCGCCCCCGCGCCCCCTGCCCGACGCGGCGCGAGTGCGGCGGCGGCGCAAGCGCAGCGCGGCGCGGCAGGGCGGCGCCCGGCGCGACGGCGCGGCGCGGTGCGCGCGGAAACCCACGCCGCGGGTGCGACGGAGGAAGCCGTGGCCGCCGCTGACGACGACGAAGAGGACAGCGAGCTGGCGGCGGAGATCCGACACAACGAGCGCCTGCGCCAGATCCAGGAGCTGCTTCGCTCGCGCTCGCTGCCCGGAGGGAGCAGGCTCACTGGTGAATACCTCCCCCGCACTATTATTACAGGGAGCACTTGATGAGCTCCCTATTGTCCAGATATTGGCCAGATGTAATCATGGTGATTAGCAAACTAAGTATAACCCTCCCTCTTAAAATAATAATGCAGTCAAAGGTAGTTTAGTACAAGTTTCATGGGTAATACATTTAATTCCCACTTAGAATGTCTCACAAACACAGTTTGTTACTTATTTAAGAACAAAAAGTATTAATCTCACTGATAAAGGAATTTGTTATGCCAATCAGAGTCACGTTTCGGTCACAGACTTTCTCGTACTAGTTATTTTTCTAATTTCTTTGGTCTGGTCTGTTTTCGATCTTGCTCCATCCTCGTCCCAGCTGCCATCTATCACCGTTCAAAGTATTTTTTTTTAATTTCTCAATTTTTCAGTTTCCTAATGGTAGAACATAAATATTTTTATGAATATTATGGAACAGTAACCTAGTCTTATAAGGAATTTTCCGTTGAAAACTTTGGAGCCGACTTTAAGAAAATGGAGTTTAAGCGTTATTATAAATGCAAAATTTGAAATTATTTTCAAAAAATCTCTTGAATTTTCAAAAAACTTCATGTAAAGTCATTTAAAGTCATTTGAAGCATTTCCACTCACAAGAAGAATGATGAATACAATGATGAATCGCTGGGAATGTACGTTTAAGAAAGCTTAAAGAAACAGTTTCAATCCATTTTTGAAAGAATATTATTTTTTATAAATTGCGACTTTCGCACACAATATTCTGCGAAAACTACACATTTTTTCAAAAAATATACAAGACTAATGAAAGGACTAAATATAGAGAAAAATTTCATTTGAAGGAAAAATCTCTATTTCCAATGTTGTAGGCAGAGGCAGAAAAATGTTTTTGCAATGATCGAAAATTTAAAGTTAACAGAGAAAATAGAATTTATGATGTCTTTATGCAAGTCTGAATAGCTAGCCGAGACCAAATGAAATAGAAAACTAATACGGAAAAGTGTGTGCAATTCTGACACACCACTAGTTTAAAGCTGCACATATTACACGCATTATACCAAATAGGGAGAGAAAATTTTACTCGAAAGAAAAATATCTAATTTTAATATTGTAATTGAAGGAAGTAGCCGAAACAATCCATACTTTTGCAATTTTTGAAAACTTTATTTCATAATAGAGTAAAGGGTAAAAAACAGGCCTTTGCCCTCTTTATGAGTCTATTTCACTCTATTCTTACAGGCAATTTAAAGAAAAAACTTGGCCATAACTCAGCAATTTTTGAGAAAATTTTTAAAATGTCACTAGAGCTTCATGTAAAGAATCCCTAAAAATTAATGAATGTTTTTGAAAATCGAATAGCTTCGACTCTGACCAGATCTACAAGGGGTTCTTCAGTTGGAAAAAAATCATACGTAGGCGCTAGTGTTATTCACATACACCAGACAGACGGGCAGACATTTTGAAATAAACCACTTTTTCGGTATCACGGGACCCCAAAACATTTGTATCCTTCGAAAACGATTTTCCGCAGCATTCCATAACTTTCTCTATACTACCCGTATATCCGCACGTATACGAGAAAGTACTCGTAACTAGTGGTTCTACAGAATGGCAGAGAGTTTCTCGAGGTAAAATTTTCGAATTTCCTTAGTGTGAGCTAGTTTTAAGGTCTTGCCTCCATCCACATAGACGCTGACATCTATAGACGCCAATAATACATTTTAAAAAAGGTATCGTTTCTTCGATTTCCTAATAGTAGAACCGAAATATTAATTCAAGACTATTATAGAAGAGTAAAACTTCGTAGTATATGAAAACTTTCATTGAAAAATTTGGAGCCGTTTTTAAGGAAAAAACTTTAAATTTGTGTAAATACGAAATATCAAGCTGTTTTTAACACTAATCTATTGTGTTTTCGAAAAACTTTATTGAGATCTCAGTCCTGATGCTGGCAGGATTTTCGACACTATCCAAGACGATTTCAGCCGTTCTCTGGAGGGGAATTCTAGCGGCCGGTTGCTTAGAAAAAGGGTAAAAAACCGTGCGCTCTTTACTTCCTTATTCCGTCCTAAACCGTTACTTACGCACACTTACAATGACATGCACTACACTATTACACTTGTGGGAGGTCAATCATTGATTAGATCACCTCCCACCTAGTGCACTACACTTTCGGGACTAACGACTGTAGCAGTTGTTGCGCCCGGAAGCACAAATGCAACCGCTCGCACTAATTTGTGTGGTTAGACGGAAGAGCAGGCCTCATGGCCTGAGTCTCGTCTCGTAAAATAAGGCATCAATTCAATTCAATTCAATAACTGCTTGATGTGGTGTGTCGCGTGTGCCGCAGCGAGCGGCGCGCCGCCGCGGACGCCGTTCCCGCTAGTGCGGCGGTCGACGGCGCTGGCGTCCGCGCGCCCGCTGCCGCGCCTCATGTCGCTCGAGCTCTTCAACCCCGAGACGGACGACATGGACAGCGACTCGTCGGGCGTGTCCTCGCCCGACTCCGTCAGCTCCGTCATCAGCGTGCTCACCGAGGAGCAGGGCGCCGGCGAGCGCCAGGCCGCCGCCGCCGCCGCCGCCACCTGCGCCGCGGGTGAGTGCGACGCAGCGCATACGGCTACAGCTTCTGGAGGGGTCTCTTTCCAACCGGCCAAGTCGAGGAGATGGAAATTGGAGACATTATGATAATATTGTGTTCATGGATAAAAATTAAATAGCTGATTCTCAGAATAAATATTAAAACTTCTTGGGTTTTGCCAATAAACGTGAGAAACCTGATATAAGTAATTACACTTGTAAGTAATCCCATTGACTGATTATTAAGAAATAAATGGTCATATCCGTCAACATACTACGTATATTAAGAGAGCCAGTTTTCAATTTTTGGATAGTTAGCATTTTATATACAGATTGTTTACATTATAAAAAACTGGTTTATGAATGTGAACTGGTTAACATCACCTGGCCCCACATTTTTGAAAAATACACCAATGAGGATTGAAAGGGCAAACTAATAAATTATTAGAAAACTATTGTAGTGTCTGTTTTAATAATGGGTCAGAATACTATAACAATTAAACGAGATATTAATATATTCCTTAAATTTCAATATCTCTCTTTCTCTCTCTTTCTCTCTTTCTCTCTCTTTTTCTCTCTCTCTTTCTCTCTCTCTTTCTCTCTCTCTTTCTCTTTCTCTCTCTCTCCCCATCTCTCTCCGTACCTCTTGGTGCCGCTCTCTCTGTCTCTATCTATCTTTCTATTCCCCTCTCTGTATATTCGCATTGAAGAGCCAAAAAACTGAGCTTTGTTTTATTTTATTTTTGTTCGTAATAAAAGTAATCTTATAAAATTTTGGGAGAACTTTATCATCTGGGACATGGCTACGAAATAGGTCTTTTATTTCATTATTAATTCAATACCCCACCAAAAATACAAAATTATGACAACTGTTGACCTTCATGGTTAAAAATCTAATACATTCAAGTAAGCGATTTCTTAGCGGTAGTTCACTTCACTGATGTTTGATAATGCCCTTTCGTTTTCCTATTTTCGGCAACAAATTATATGTAAACCGTTGCATTATAATGCTGTGGTTGAAGTAGCACACACATTTGACTGAGCTAGAAGTAAAATTCTTAAATCTATATAGAGTTTATTAATAGCTCGATGTCAACACGTAAAAATAATGGCCCTTTGAATTTCAATACTACGTACGCCAGAATCTAATGTGCAACTCTAAATATTCATGGTGGTTATCGCAGAAAAAGTGTGGAAATCCACATGGCTTGATAGAAAGAATTTGTGGAAGATAACTTCTTTTTACCTCAATCAATAATGTAACTCTGATATTATATTTCAAGAAGTTCAAATATACAGGATTATACCTCACACCGTACAATTACACTGTACAATTCACTGCTTATGATACATATTTATGATATATGGGGGAAATCAGTTGTCAATTGATGTTGGAAAAAAATTAATAAAGGTTTACTGAGTATTATATAAATATGTTATTCGAACAATTCACTCTTTCTTAAAACATTTGAAGTAATTACTCAAAAACCTCCTTGACAGTTAGCTTATCTCTTTTCTTGATAGCCTCGAAAATATTAGAAAATATTTTTACTCTTGAGAAAGCCAAGTAAAGTTTCCATGCAAAAATACGGGATCGAGCACGTACAACACTAATCTTTGCAATATTATTTTACTTTCCTGGATTTATGAGGAAGTGAGAAGATTTTGGAGGGGAGAGCGCCAGCTAGAAGGGGTGCGAAAATTGAAAAATTATTTATACATTAAAAAGTATTGGAATATTTTTTGCGTCTTCATGTTCCTAAAGAAAAGCCATTCCGAGCCAAAAAATAAAAAAGTAATGTTTCCACCTTTGAATAGTACATACCATTTATCATTAGAAACAATTCAGTGGGCTTAAGACTTCACTCGGGTATAACTCGACCAAGCGAAGAATGAAGGTGGTGATGACGCGCCGTAGAACAGTGTAAACACGGATTATTCAGTCAGTTTCGCTTACACAAGACGCGAGGAGCGTGAAGCGAGTTGTTTATGGGCGTAGCTTTGGGAAATGGGAGTTCTCAGAGTGGTCAGATGTGACACTCCGCGGGCAGACAAGACGCCTTGCCTGTAGTGTACTTAAATTTTGTAACAGTATAAATGAAGGTGAGCATAAGAAACATGTACATGTATTAAGGGTCACTTTTCAATTTAAAAGTAATGACATCAGACGTAATCGATAAAATAACTGTACAAGACCGGAAAAAGAGCTGTCACTCATATCAATAAAATAGCAAAAGAATACTGAGATGTTTTGCTTGAAAATGCTGTTGATTACCTTGTAATAAGTGTCGGTCCGGAAAGTGGCGGAATCTAGTAACACGGATTCAATCACCAGCCAGGAAAATTTTGCTAAAAAATGACTTTTGATGAGAAAGCTGATGAAATATATCTTCAGAGACACATTATGCAAGATTTACACCCATTATTTTATTTTTGTCACGTTAAGTTGCATTTTTCATTTTAATTTTTACCTTTCTCTTACAAGAATAAAATTTTAAAAAATATTTTTTTACTAAATCGATTTTTTTATTACTTTCTGTTGAATTTAAATATTTTGAATTTTTCTTTTTTCATCTTTTTTAAGCAGACTTTATGTGATTTATTAGGTATGCAATAAAGTACCAAAACGTCACTGTCATAAGTATCTACAGTTTCCTTCATTATGGTCGTAGTTGCTTCTGTCATAAAACATAATTTTATTAGGTATATCTTCTGAGAAAACACTTACGTTATATTAAACGATTAATGCGAATGTTACAGTACCAATTCCCTGTAAACATAACTCTCAACTTTGTCGAGATATACATGAATGTTGCTCAAACGATGTTTACGTATTGTATACCTTAGCGAACCGACACATTAAGTTTAATATCTGATGGAGCTACTGTGCATAATTCTGGTTGTTTTGAGTGGACTGTATTGGTAAGATAGGCGGAGTATAGCAGTCCCGAAACCCTTTGATAGCTTAGGGAGGATTTATGTAGAAGTTCTGGATTGACAGAAAATAAGTTCTTGCAAACCGAACCTAACAAGACACGTCTTCACTTTACATTGTACAACTACATCCCTCCACAATTAGGTACACAGCATTTGCAGACCTTGGCAAACCGTTAAATGAATGTTTTCACTGTACGAATAAAAAACAATCTTCATCGGTATCAAGCAACTATTAATACTACTTTTAGTTGTGGCTGCAAGAGCGAATCTTGAATTAGTAATTATGCAAATAAACCTCGTCAAGACTGCGCAACCCACGGTAAAGTAAAAATAGTTTAAAATAGAGGAATATAAGCATTTTAAGCGTGGCCACCATCACCAAGGGTTGAATTATGTGTGACATACACGTGACATCGATAGGTGGCGAACCATCAAAAATTGAATAGAAGGTACAAGAATATCTCATCCTATAGATTATGGCATGGGAAACGTTTCATGGAGGCCTTTAGCATCAGTATGTTAGTTTTTGAGGCTCTAGAACGCTCCGTTTAAGAGTTATTTAAAGATATAGCTGACTGAGTGCTTCTTAGAAATTTCATTTCAGCTGCCTGGATTTTAGAGTTATCTTTTTTTGATGCTTTACGTTTGTTCTCTCCATTACATTACACTGGTATTAGCTTACTGTGTTGAAGAATTTTATTCTTGTTTCTATCCTAGTGGTTTTGGTTGTTTAGATGTCCGGGTATATGTGCCGCATTTATTTCTAAATTATTTAATTTTTTTATCTAAAATCTATATCTCTTTTTCAACGAGATTGTTGCAACAGTATTAGAAGTATCTTTACCTGTTCTATACTCTTTCCTTCTATCACATTCATATTCTGTTCTCACTGGGTATTTTCCTTTAATATGCCATAGTTTTAGTTGATTTTCTATTGGATATTTTAAATACCATATTTATTGCAGTTTTGATTTAATTAATATATTACTGCATTTTTGCATTATGTCTTCAGTGTCCTGTTATTATCACTTTGTCATCTGCATATAAAAAGAATTTAAAAATATTTTCCTAAAATAGATCCCTCGATCTATATTCAATTTCCATGTTCTAAACAAGTCGTCCATGTACATATTGAAAAGTGTCGGTTATATGCAACAGCCCTGTCTTACACCTTTGTTGATGGGAACCTCTTTTGTCAATTTTCCTTTTTTACTTTTTTTAATTTTCCTTTTTTTTACGTTTTTACTTTGTTTCTAGCTTTTTTGTATTCTTCCCTGTGATTTTCAGTAGGGTTGTCAAGGTATATTTTGTATATCTCCTGTTTAAGCGTAACACTTTTTTCGATATCATCATTCCAAATTTTCAAAATTTATTCTTTTTTGATATAGGTTTCTCACGCTTTCGTCTTCTAAGAGGAATACTTTGTATACTTCTTTTTTATTATTCATTATGAATCTTGAATTATTTTTCACTCATCTTTTTAATAATTTTATACGGGATATTACTAGAAAGTGATCAGAGTTTATGTCGCAGCTTCTTTTAACTGTTGTATCTTCTATTAATTTTGATATTCTTCGATTTCCAATTATATAATCTATAATGAATCTACTACCTCGTGCTGACCATGTATATTTATGAATGTCTTTTTTCTTTTTAAATGTATTTGCAATATACAGTTCATTGAAGGCTGCGAATTCCCTCAATTTTTCTCCATTGTAATTTTGTACACTTTCTCCACACTTTTCTAGTCTTTGATGTACTCTCATTTCCCACTCTTGCATTTAGATTACATACAAGAAGGACTTCATATCTTGAATTGCATTTGTCCAACACTTCCTGCTTGGTTCTGTAGAATTCCTGTTTCTTCCCTCTTTCCTTCCTCCGGGGCATACACACCAATAACGACAAGATGTCCTCTTTCGTGTTTTAATTTTAGAAAAACTATCCGGTCATTTACGTATTGAACCTCCTTAATTCTTGATTCCCACTTTCTGTCTACAAATATGGCTATTCCTTTTGCAGCTCGCTCTTGCTGATCTACTCCACTATAAAACATGGCATAATTTTCTACATATTTTG